GCTTGTCGGGTATGGAGCTCAATGGCTTGTTGTGAGGCAGTCGATCTCACCGCTTCCTTATTGGCAGGTATATTGCGTGAAAATTACTTTTGGGTTTGATTTGTTTTAATAATTGGGCAGTTTGTTGCTATTTTTTCCAGTTTATGGTTGAATATTTCATATTGATAATAATTGTAATGTAGCATCCTGGGCTCTCTTGTTGCCCATATTTAGATGTCATTTTACATAGACATATGCTCCTATGATTTGATAAAGTACTTGTTGTTGAAATGTAGCATCCTGGGCATATTCATGTCGTGAATTAGATTGTAACAACGTGCATTGGATCAAATTGTCCAACATGATTAGTAATAATTGTTATCAATGCAATAAATAAGACCAGTATACTTGTTAATAGTTTTGCTCATAGAGGGTTGATTTCAATCTAATAGTTTCCCTAAAAACTGGTTAATAGTTTTGAACCTTCCATATTTGTAGAATTTTTTTAAAAAAGACCATAGCATTGAGGTTCTCTCTTTGGATGCTCTGTTTGATATTCAAATAGCACATATTATGTCACCTATGCATGTTTATAAGATGTAGAATGATCAAGTATTTCCAAGTTCTTAAACCAGTTTCATTGTAATTTAGGGAAGTGATCATTTTTCTTGGATTTGTTGATTGTGTTTACCTCAATGCACCGAATGAGCTTCTTCTTGACAATGGACTGGGAGATGTAATAACCATAAAAAAAAAAGTATGTACTTGAATTCTTTTGCAGACTTATTTTTTTTTCTTTTCTTTTCTTTTGTCTTTTTCACCTCTACAAATCTCTTCCTATATCGTTTCATTGATCCTTGTTGCTCATGCAGCTGGACGGATGCTGTTTTATGGAATCCACACATACAGATGGAAGCCTGCTACAAAAACAACCATTGTAATAGATCTTTGTGGTGCTAGGATGTAAACTTGCTTTGTAAAAACAACCATTTGCTGAAATGAAAGTAGATGAAGGCTGGTGTTTCATTTGTAAACTCCATCCTGGTTAATCAAAAAAATGTAAAGTGTAAGTTCTACATGTGTAAACATGATATGCTTGCTCGAAATCAAGCGTAAAATTGGTGAGTCTGTTGCATCTTTAGTACGCTTGCTTTTTGGTTGTGGCGAGCTATTGGTCATTTCCTGTTTGATAGTGGTTTGAGCTTGGTATTAACTTGAGGTTTTTTTTTAATCTTGTTAGTGTTCTGATTTGGCTTGAAGTGTCATATCATCTCTTCTGGATTGTATGTGTACATTTGAGTACGCTTGGAAGTAGTTCAGGCCTTTGTTTAAGGCTATGACGAGAAGCCTATATTGAAAGATGCATGTATTGAACAATTTATCGCTGATATCATATTAGACAGATGCATATATTGAACAATTTGACAAGCTGAGCTATAACATTCCCCTGCATTTCTATTTACAAATCATAGAACATAATTGAATGCAACGTCGACAAAGTAAGTAATAAATTATACACATATATTTCTCCATCCAATTTACATAACAAGAAACATCCAATTTACATATTTCTCCATACAAAAATACAAAAACCCAACGGAATCCAAATTATATACATAATCTACTCCCAAAATTCAAGGTTCTTACAAATCACACAAGTTACTCAATGTAGCAGTTGCAATTGCTCTTCTACGCAAAAGAGTAGAAGAGGCATACGACCTCTCTAGGAATTGCTTCTTCTTATCATTCGCTAAACAAAGAACTAATTCCATACAAACCTCTTGAGCATTTGGTGGAGGGGCTGGCTTGAAGTCCTGCAATTTGGAGTACTCCAAAATAAGGTGATACATATAATCATAAACTTGATCCATGTCCATAAAGCTGGAAAGTTACAATAATAGCCTTTTCATTGTGCATACATAATTGAAATTGATTAGCAATCTTTGAAATCAAAGTCACTACAATCGACATAACCTCTTGCTTATTAAAGGCACACCCTAGTACTTGATTGGTAAGACTCTCTTCAGAGAAACCCAAAGCTAGAGCAATGTTAGCCTTTTCAGATTCAGTGACAACTCCATAAAAGATTGCACATTTGTTAGAATTAGCCTCCATAAAAGATTGCACATTTGTTAGAATTAGCCTCCA